AAAAAAAAAAAAAAAAGTCAGCGCAAGTCCGAAGTGTCGTCAACCACTGCCCAAGCCTGAGCACTTTCGTCGGACGGAAGTGTCGTTTAAACCACTGCCCAAGCCTGCGCACTTTCGTCGGACTTTTCAGCCCCTGCCCCCGGCCCCACGTGCCCTTTCCATTTGCCCATGCTTTGATACCGTTTCGATTTCGACCAAAACCCAAAGCGCGGTCCCACCAGCAACTATCGGTCCCTCATTTGTCAAACAAACTGCCACCACCCCCCAAAGTGCCATACTTGCACCTTCCTGCATTTTTCGAGCTTTCCAACGACCAAACGACCCGTAATGAACGACCGGTATAATGAAGGACGACGAAAAAATGTCTCCATGTCTCAAAGGGGGAAAAACACACATCTGACGGGCTGCGAATACGTCCACGTTCAGACACATTTGTTTGCCGGTGCAAATTCAATGCAGGTGTGTCGGTTTTTTTTTTTTTTTTTTTTTTTTTTTTTTTTTTTTTTTAAAGCGCTTGTGTCATTCTTCTATTTGGGCGGCGGTACGAGAACCGTCAGAATTGAGGGCTTGACTATTGGGCTGCTCCATCTATTGGTGGGAAGCGACACCTGCTGGAAATCGGGTCCAACGCCCCATTGATACATCTTGTAGCTCAACAGTTTATCAGTAGTTGTTTCCCAGGGTTGTGGTTGTTTGTCTCATTGGTCCATGACTCCATTACCTCATGAGGCTGTTGTTTTCACCCATCCCATCTTGGAGCACCCTTTGTCTGACAACCCAACCCTGTCCAACAGCCCCCTGGGGATTACTCCCTTATCAGACGTTTTAGACTTTTTAACCCCTGCCAACCATACATTTCCTTTACATTAATATGCTAGACAGTTTATCTATCCCAGGACTGCCATGAAAGAATTATTAATGCAGTGCAGTGCAATGCAATGCGATGTAATGCAATCGAACTCGAATCGATGAGAGAAAATTATATTTATTTGTCTAATCTTTTAACCCCTATAAACCCTATACCCTCTCCGTTCCTGAGTATAACATGTTCTCAATCCTTAGACTCGGAGCCTCAAGGATGTTAGAGCTCTACGAGGACAGCAGGCGGGAAGGAACACATGCTACTTGTTTCTTTGTCACCTGTCCAGCCACCGTTAGGGGTGACTCCTGTTGAAGATCAAGTACAACCTCCTTTCCAACTTTCATCATTACTGGAGTCCCTTGACTTAGTTGCTCACGGCTGGTCCTTCAGACGATTTCTTGTAAGGGTGTGGTCGTTTGCTGCTATGTTGTTGATGGATGACCTAGTCAGTTGTTCCTCTCTCTGTATAAATGATTTGAGAATGACTGGAGGTGCTAACCGTCGTATGTTTTAGATGAGTGTTACTGGGGGGGGGGGGGGGGGGGGGGGGGGGGGGTGGGGGGGGGGGGTGGGGGGGGGGGGGGGGGGGGGGGGGGGGGGTGTAGGGGGCGGGGAGTCTATTGGCAGTGAAGGAGGTGGAGGCGAGGTAGGGGGCGAGGGACCTGAAGGTGGTGAAGGGGGAGCTGAGTGAGGAGGCCGGGAGGGCAGGGGCTGGACGGATGTTGGGTTTTCTCTTACCATTGTCCCTGACAATATACCTCGCAGCGGTGTGTAAAAGCAGTCTGGGTGCCGAAAGGACCAGTGGTCTCCCCGTGCCACCCAGTTTTTCCAGATAAGTTTTCCGATTTCTTGGACCTCGACCATCTTGCTGCTGGGGTTAAGCCAGCGTTCTTTAAATGCTGAGATAGCCTGTTGTTTTCTCTCTCTATTCGGACTCCCTGCTACCTCTTCCTGCAGTTTTCTGCCAACTTTGACCAAGTTAGCCCTCATAATTTTTACGAGTTCCGCTTTGGCTTGGTGATAGCCGAAGGTCTTTTTTTGTCGCTCTGCCGAATACCTCATCCGTCGTACGACCATCAGGATAACCAACCTCATGTGTTTAAACATCTTTCTTTGGAAAGGAGTCCAAATCTTTGGGATGCTTTTTCGTTTCCCCAGTAGGATGAGGATTATATCTCAATGAAATACTATTCCTGTCAGAGCGTGCTACATTGCATCCCATCACTGTCATTGGGCATGCCAAAAGGCAATGTTCCAAATCCGCCCTTTGTTGGGGAGCATCAGACCCGCACTGAGAGCAGATGGGGGACAACACCCCTGTCTGTTCCAGGTTGGATCTCGCTGTCATCCAATCCGGGGTCGGTAGATATCCATGAATAATTTGCCATTGCAGGGCCTTATGGGAGGTTGGCATAATATGAGCATGGGTGGTCTATGGGATATGACGCAGGTTCTCTTTTGCGAGGGGCGAGTCCCTTCTCTACTTATTTTGGACCACCGGAGTCGATGAAACGTGGTTGTGTGCCTCTTTATATCCGTCTCTAACTGTGTATTTTCCAGATCGGGATTGGGTTGCGGCCCTTCCACTCCTACTCATCAAGGTCAAAGGGGAGGGCCCCCACCGGGGTAGACATCTCGTATGCGTAAAATCCCTTGTCTTCGGACCCCACCACTCTTATCCTTGTGAGTTCTTCTTTTGGCCTTGTGCAGTCTAGGTCAGGGGCTTTCTTTAGGGAGGCCCATCTGGCCCCAGGCACATCCAGTTCAAAGGCATGGAGAGGCAGACCTTCTTCATTGGCATTAAGTACTCTATAGATAGTCATGGGAATTTGGTTTGGAGTGGACTGAATCACCCAATCCAGACTTCTCACCAACGGTTCTTGTTGCAGAATAACCACCCACTGCAGCGGTATTGCTGAATGCAGATGCTGCAATTTGTCTTTCATTTTTTTGACATTCTTAAGTTTGGGTTGCAGCTGTTGTGGCAATTTCCATGTTCGGGCGTGAGTGTCCCATAAGT